CGACAGACTCAGTAGAGACTTCTAGAACAGACTCTCTAGGCCTATTGGTAACAGACCTAGCTGCTAATCTACAGACCTAGGGATCAAGTCTTACTAGCCAAACTACAGCTAACCTAAGCCGTAGGACAGGTTTGGGGATCGAAACCTACTCAGGTCACGCGGTCTATGTACAGGTACAGGGTAGGTCTAGGGATCGAATCTCACTCAGCACACGGGGTCAATGTACAAGGTTAGGGCGTAGGTCTAGGGATCGAATCTTTGTGACTGCAGTACCAGGTCAACTGGGTGAAACCGTTTCAGAAGAACACCGGAGGATAAAAACGGAAAGAGAACAGCAGGGAAGGTAGATGAAATCCGACAAGAACAAGAATGGACCTGGCATCTATTTTAAATAACTTGATGGCTTACCTCACTCACCTTGAGGTGAAAACTGGCAGCAACACCACCGCATTGCAGACGTTGACCAGACTCGTTAAGGGTAAGGATAAGGTGGTGCATGAGGAGGAAGCCGAGGGGGAAGAAGAGGAAAGTAAAGAACCCGAGAGGAATTAATGAAGGATGTCATGAAAAAAGTAATGTTGGAGACTCTAGAAAGTTCCAAAAAGGAAACTGAGAAACCGGCGGAAAAGAAACAAGAGTTCGCTGTGAAAAAAACGGCCAAGGAAGTTGAGAAGCCGAAAAGAAAGGAAAAGGTAAAAATGAAATTGCCTTTCACATACAACAACAAAACAAGATTTTTTTTTTTTTTTTTTTGATAGCAGAGATTCAGACGTATTGCAACAACACTCCAGTGGAACCTGAGAGTCAGGTAGCTTTCTTCACGTCTACACCGATGAGTGGGCCAACACATTGACCCTCAAGCACTTTCTCCAAAAGATTAAGGAGAGATTTCTTTGACAAGACAACGATCGATAAGGCCTTCGATGAACTCGCCACGATTAGTCGGAAACGTTGGTCGACTGTTGAGGATTTGTCTCGTGAGGTGGATCGTCTTTTGCAGGTACCTGGCCTTAATCTGCAGGACAACAAGGTCCTCTATATCTACTCTCGCGCATTGCCCGAGTCAATCCGTGGATAGCTCGTGGCTGATGCAAAGTCAGGTAAGTACAACTATGGACAATTTCACGATCTGGCGCTCCAAAGGGAGCAAATGATAGTGCAGGTAAAAGGAACCTTCGCGCCAGTGGTAAGAAATGGTTCGGCTACTGGATATGGAAAGCGGGTCCCATGGCGGCAAAAGTGACCGGATCAAATGGTCGTTGTTTTTGACGACGACACCATAGAGAGGTTGCCTCTTGACGAGGCCGAGGGCGGAGGTAATAGCGGCAAAGTTGCTGCACTTGGTCCCCAAAGCGCAGTCTGTTCACACAAGCATGACTGATGAAATTTTGTGTAGAGCCTATGTCTGCGAAGGCACCCACTTCTCGGCCACCTACATTGATCTCTTCCACGAAATGCTCATCCTTAGGACCTCTACTAATCATTGCCCAAGAGTCTCTAGGGTCTTTCCCTAACCACTCAGACTGTAACTCTTCTAAGGACTCAGACACATCTCTCGAAGAGAGCGTCGGTGGGTCTGTCTGCTGGGCGATGTTTGGGTCACTAGCCTTGGCCAACGCCTGAAGTGGGGAAGGCAACGTTACCACTTCAGCACAAGTAAGAGCGGCTAACACTCCTACTGGCCCGAGGTGTTTCCCTGCGAAGTACTTGCAGAAGCACCACCAGGGTTCGAGGATAAGCCCTCTACTGTTGGAGCGGCTACCCTCGTCGCGACCTTCTTGCCCCGGCAAGTCCCCTACGTGTGGCCATAGTTGCCACAGTCCATGCAAGTACCCTTGGCGACTCGGTCCCTCCACACCTCGTAATCTAGACCAAGTCTTACCCATGCGGGTGTTCCTTGGTCGCCCTGACCCGTAGATCTTCCTGGGCCCCCTAGCCTTTTCCTTTATAGGAGCCACAACTCCCTCATCCGAAGTCTCGTTGGCCCCATCATGCTGGATCTCGTCCCCATAGTCTAGGAAGTCGTCAATTTCTGTCGCCTGAGCATCATGGGCGACGAACATAAGTTGACCTTTCTATTTTCGGTCCTGGGAAGTCTCTTCTTCCTACCATCTCTCCGACTCTGATCCGCGGGCCAAGCTTTGCCTCTATATCTAAGGCTTTCTTGCTAAAGTTATGTTGGTCGACGTAGGCCTCGTCCACCAGCTTAGTCCTAACCTCTGAAGGCAGACATCTCAAGTAATTTTTAAGGAGTACCTACTGGTCGTAGCGCACACCAGGTACCACGAGCAGATGTTCTACGGTGTCTGTGATCTCACGAACATTCTTGTACCTTTTGGCACAAAGATTGTTGATCGTGTCCCAAGTAATTGTTGCAGTGGCTGCATAGCCACTGAGACAGGTTGTTGCACGCTCACCTGGGCCTGTGATGATGGGACTGCAGTTACCACCTTCGTGGATGGTACAGTCGAAGTTGACCGGTGTCGGGACCTATGGATGAGAGTCGGTATATAGCCAAGTTGTGCATGACAGAGAAATCCGGAGGAAGGAGACACGAGAGAGAGAAAAGACAAAGGACTAGGATGGGACCGTCGGGAGGAATGATGTCCAGAGCTGAGTACCATAGGGTGAAGAACCCGACAATGGCAAGGAAGTGAGTGACAGGACGTGGGCGCATAGGGGCATAGCATGGGGCCAACAGGGTCATTCGAATTCGGCATGGCAAGGACCCGAGGGGCCATGAACTGAGCAAGCAAGGCGCGACGGATGACAAGAGAATGGTGAAGCCAAAAGGTGGACAACCTTGGTGGCCGCAAGATACTAGAAAGTAAGGGCCCAACGTGGGGACCACCTACGACAATTAACGGAAACCACGGGTTGGAGGCCCTGCGGCCGGAGAAACCGGCGCTCGCAAGGCTCAAGAGAAGACGGAGAAAAAGGGTCACCGTAGGGCGGTAGACACCAAAAGAAACTGGGACACCATGAAGAAAAGTATCAGGGACCACGTGAGGCTAAGTAAAAATAATGGTATCCGGGACAAAATATCGACGAGACCACCGACGAGACAAGTACCGGCGGGACCGCTAGTGGGACAAGTACCGGCGGGACCACCGGACGGGACAAGTGTCGAGAACTAGTGCGGGACAAGAGGTGGGGACATGAGAAGGTCTCAAGAAGGATTGTGGAGCAACATGGGAGAAAAATAATTAAAGCAAGGTGTACCGTCAAGATCAAGATCTTAACGGCCAAGAATATTAGCACCACTAGTGCAAGCACTAGTGAAAGCAAACGGGAAGACCAAAAGGAAAAGAAAAAGTAAAGAAAACAAGGAGGCGACGGCATGGGAGCAATCCGAAAAATCTCGG